GGTCCGCTCTGCTACATGGGCCTTTTTTGGGTATATATTGTGCGATTTCTAACTAAACACAACAATACAACCAGCCCACTAGCCAGATCCTTACTCTACCACCTAGAAGACCTGATTTCGACTGCAGCCCCTATTCTTTTTCTTTTTCACTTCTCCTTTTTTAAGATTCAAATACTTTTTAAAATATTTATATCTTTTAAACCCTAACTTCAAATCTAACATGTTATATGTAAAAATTGCTCAGAAAAATATATAGATTTCGAATATGCTATTATCTTGCATGTTACTCATTTCTAAAATAAAACTTATGATGCAACCTTAATTACTTATCTATATAGGGTATTTTTACAAATGCATATTACATATGTATCCTATCCCATTTAACTTGAGTAGATATGATAGTTTAATGCTACCACAAAAGATAGTATTGGCACTATAAGGGGTGTTGATTCGTACTAGCTACCATATGCTAAAGATTACAACTGGTACATAGTCATCCGATTTCCTATCGCGCACAATAACCAACCAATATACGGTGATACAAACTAAATTGTTTATGCGAGCTTTTATGTAAACAAGTGGCTTAATGTTGATCTCCAACTTTTTCTGAAATTGTGCCCATAAAGATTTTTGGAAACACCTTGAGCACACTTCAAAAATCATCCAATCATTATGTTTTTGCGTAACACCACTTATCATGTTGTTTGTTGTGTGAAGATTTAAGATTTCAAGCGATTTGCTGATCGTCCAATGTGTATAATGGGTGATTTTTTTCTCCCGTTGCAACGCACATGCATGTTTGCTAGTAATAATAAAGGGGTTATTGCTTGTTGCGGTACGTCACAGAAATTATCACAAAAATTGTAAAATATCACCCACCAATGCCACCTATAAGTGATAAAAGAAGTTTCACACATGGGAATACCCGCTTGGGTTGTCCCATGCAGTAGGGACCTCTTATACTGCGCTTCGCGTCGGGAGAAAACGCAGCGTGCCAGTTTGGACCGGCTCATGTCCGCGCGGTCTGTCTTTTAAATTTAGCTTTTTATTATTTTTATTTTTCCCTTTTTCGTTTTTTATACTTTCAATAATTTTGGAATTCAAAGAGTTCCCAAAATTAAAAAATGAGAATTTTGAAAAAATATATTTAATAAATCATACTCCTTCGGTCCCAAAATTCTTGTCTTAGATTTGTCTAGATATGGATGTATCTAATACTAAAGCGTGACTTGATACATCCGTATTTAAAGAAATATAAGACAAGAATTTTGGGACGGGGGGAGTAAACGTTTGTGGATTGAAAAAATGTCGGTGATTTTATAGAAAGAAGTTTGCTTATAAAAATGTTCGGAATTTTGAAAATAAATGTTCGGGAAATGAAAAAAATCATGATTTTCTAAAAGATCGTGTATTAAATAATGTTAATGAAACTGAAAAAAAGTAACCAATTCACAAAATGTTCATGAATGAAAAAATATCATAAAAATTCAAAAATTGTTTGTGACTTAAAATAGTTTATTCTCTCATAAAATGTTCGCCGATTCAAAAAATGATCATGCATTTCAACAAATGTTCATTAAATAAAAAAATGCTCGTGAATTTGAAAATTGTTCCACCAATTTCCAAAACTATATTCGTCCATTCTAGAAATGTTCGTTGATTCAAGAAAATTGTTAAAAGATTGTTCACAAGTTTAAAAAATGTTTGCAAACATTATTAAATGCTCATGAATTCAAAAATGTTCTAGATTTTAGAAAATGTTTGAAAAATTGTAAAAGTGTTCATGAATTTGAGAAATGTTCTTGATTTCAAATATGTTCACGAGTTTCAAGAAATGTTCATGATTTCACGAAATTGAGAGTGTATCTCGGTGATGCTGCAAAATGTGATCATGACCATTGGAGATGATGATTTTTTTTCTCCGTTGCAACGCATGGGCCCTAGTTTAGAATGAAGATCCAAGAGCCTGGTTTTACATTAACAAATCCATCAACTGATCAAGATTACAACCAACAAGAACGCCATCAACAGAGAGCAAGGGAAAAAAAAAGCCAAGAACTGAAAGATACAAGGATATGCTCCCTCCGTTTTTTATTACTCTGCGCCTAAGTTTTTGCGGTTTTTTCCCAAATGCTTTGCGCACTAGCCATTTCTCTCGTTTCCTTCCAATTCTGCCCCTGATTCTCAGCTTCCCACATAACTAATGCATTAACTGCTAGCCAATCCGTTGCATGCAGCAGCAGCGAGTAGCCAATCCGTTCCATGAGTGGAGCCATCCCAAGCAATTAGTGCCGCAGTTAGCGTGCATGCAGGAACGGGCGAGCGGCATGCAGAGCTGGCGAGCGGAACAAGCCAATCTGTTGCATGCGCTTATTTATAGCGCGTCAGTTCCCAATACACACAATTAACAACAAAGCAGGGGCAAACTAGTCCAAAAAATTCCCACCAGAGCCCTCCTTGGTATCCGGGATTGCACTTAGACTAGCCACAGTGGGTACTTCCTCCGTCTCAGTTTACAAGTCCTACGCGTATACCTATGTTGCCAATTTGACCACTCTAATATAAACTATATAACACAAAAATTATATCTTTTGAAAATAAAACATCTGAAGTTTATATTGGTATATTTTTTATAATATATTACTTATATTAGGTTGGTTAAATTGACGACCTAGAGGCACGCGCACGCCTTGTAAACTGAGAGAGAGGTAGTAGTAACTTAGACTAGTAGCATGCATATGTTAGTAGTCTATATTACTATCTCTATAATGGGAAGTAATTTATGTGTGGTATCATGCAACACTTCATTTATTAAGTTATAGACTCATCTTGCCTTAGACTAGCCATAATGGTGAGTAACATACACTAGTAAACATACACATATCCCTAGACTATGTTACTACCTTCATAGTGGGTAGTAACATAAGTGTGGTAACATGCAAAGCTTCATTTATTAGATTATAGACTCATATTGCATTGGGACATGTGATGTTACAGTAACTAGCTAAGTTACTATAACTACCTCTCTCTTCATTAACTCATTTCCACATAAGCAAATTTGCTGAGTTGGACTCGATGTTACTGCTGAAGTTACTTCCACTGTGGCTAGTCTTAGGCGCAGACAAAATAAAAACGGAGGGAGTAATAAAACAGCTTACAACACAAACCACTCGACAAGCACTCAAACTAAAAGTAATGAAGCATCGCTTGAAGAAGGGGTAGCCCTTTGCACTTGGTCACCACAGAAGACAAATGCACCACAAAAGGAGCAGCCAACCACCTAAAGAACGCTACCACCGACGCATCATTAAGGACCATGGAGATCTTCCACCTTCTTTCTCCCTCACCGAAGAGGGACCCTATCCCCTCGTTTGGGCTTCAAGGACGCCACACCTTCGGGCGAAGGAGTCGTTCACCCTAGACCTACGAAATGTGTTGTCTTGAGGCCACCAAGGCCGAACAACTGCATTTGACCCCTCCCGCCACGGCGGGCAGACCTCGACAACTACAATGTTGTTGTCTGCCGATGACCAAGCCAGAAGAGGATAAGCCGCAGGGGAAACATATTGAAACCAAAGGTACAAAGAGCTCAAGGAAAACGACAAGCATCCAGAGCAAGTGGTATAGCCACTAAGAAGGCCTGGGGACTTGATGAACCACCGCGATGACGTTGATGTCGGGGAAGGGATCCCATGCAGGATCGAGGGTGACGAACCACCGCGCAATAGAAGAACGTCCACGGGCGAGCACAAAAACAGAGTACATCAGATCAGAACTCGCTGTCTCGACACCAAAGCTGCCTCTCAAACAAAGTTGACACCTTTCACACATAG